TGCCACCAGGGCAAGCGGGTCCCCAATTCCTTCCCTCTTTGCTATACCATCGTGGGATGCTTCGGTCGGCCTCCTATCTTTAGGCTTCACCCCCAAACTCCTGGGGACACTCCAAGGACTCCCTCCCCATGTTTTACCCCAGTAACTGGGGAGGCAGACCCAGAGTTCCTATAGCTCAGGAAGCCTGCCCCCACAGGGTGAGACAGCACAATCCTCTCGTAGCAGGCACCCTGGGGCCTTAAAATAGGATTATCAGGGTGCCTGGGTGGCTCAGTTGGTTAAGCGACTGCTTCGGCTCAGGTCATGATCCTGGAGTCAGCGGATCGAGTCCTGCATCCGGCTCCCTGCTCAGCAGGGAGTCTGCTTCTCCCTCTGACCCAACCCCCTCTCATGCTCTCTCTCTCTCTCTCTCATTCTCTCTCTCAAATAAATAAATAAAATCTTTAAAAAAAATAGGATTATCAGTTGGTATGTCTTATATAGCCAGGATGGGTTGAGAGGGTGGTCTCCGTTTTTCTGCATCTTTTAGGCAGCTTACAGGGTTGTCTCTAATTACTTTAAAATGTTGGAGCCCTTATCACCGAAGTCTTTGACTCTGAAGCTTTATCCAAAACACTAAAACCACAGGAAAAATTCCAGACTGTACCCTGTGACACAGGGCTATGATGTGGTACAACCTTGTGCTGTATGCTTCCTAGAGGGGTAAATGACATCACTAATTAGCATAATCGTGAAATAAAATATGGTAGAAGGTGCCTGGTTCTATGGGACTTCAGAGAGGTTTCAATTCAGCAAGAATATTTTGAGCCTCTCTTAAATGCCAGGCACTGGGCACAAGATCAAGAAGAAGATAAATTTGCGTGCTGGCATGCAGTTCACATCCAGTGAGGCCACCGAGTGAGCCCCAGAACCAGGGTTGGTGCTGGTGGTCCAGTTCCAGCCATTGCTGGAACATCTTAACGCTTCTTTTTCTTTCAACACTCAACACAAGACTTTCCTCTTATGTGAAGCCTTCCTTGGGCTCTCCTCTCACCCCTAAGGCCTCATTCACTTCTCCCACCTGCCACCAGCAGGCCCTGGACATAGCCCTTGTGGAGCATGCTGTTCCCTGGGGCTGCCTTCATTGACTTGCAAAGTCTCTCCTCTAGGAGCTCCCTGAGACCACGAATTGTTTTGTTCATCTTTATATCCTCGTATCAGGGATTTTGATCATTCGTGAGTAACGGGAAACCTGATTAACCTGTGGCATCAGCTAAACCGTGGCTGATCTTTTTTCTCGCGCCACAGGTAGTCTGGAAGAGGGTGGTTGCTGGTGGTTGTTGGCTCATTGCCTCAGGGATGTCATGGTTGAAGCGCGGCTGCCTTGACTCCAGCATTCCCGCCCCCACGCAAGCAGGAAGAAGGGCCCGCGCCGAGAGCAGGAAAGCAAAACCTTCTCGGACAGTTCTGGCCTTCTGGCCGTCTTCCACATTTGTCTTACTGAATGGAACTGTGCCACATGACAAGCCGTAGATGCGCGAGAGGCTAGGAGAATTCTTCTTATTTTTAGACTGAACACATTGCCACCTGAGCAAAGTCAGTGTTGGCTAGTAAAGAAGGGGAAAGTGAACACTGGAAGGTGTCTAGCATCGTCTGCCTCGATCCCTAAGACAAAGCAGAGTGCCTGGCACCATGCTATCAAGAAAGCACTCAATAGTTATTGAAAGAAAACAAATGAACAAGGGGAAAAGAGACAAAAAAACAGACTCCTAATTATAGAGAACAAACTAGTGGTTGCCAGAGGGGAGGTGGGCGGGGGATGGGTAAAACAGGTGAAGGGGATTAAGCGCTCATCTTGGTGAGCGCTGAGTAATGTATAGAATTGCTGAATCACATTGTATAGCTGAAACTAATGTAACACTGTGTGTTAACTACACATGAATTTTGAAAATTAATTAATTAAAAGACAGTTATTTTTAAATCATTTTTAAAGTTTTTATTTTAATTCCAGTTAACATATAGTGTTATATTAGTTTCAGGTGTACAGTACAATGATTCAGCACTTCCATACCTCACCCAGTGTTCATCACGACAAGTGCACTCCTTGATCCCCATCACCTATTACACCTATCCCCTCACTCATCTCCCCTCTGGTAACCAACAGTTTGTTCTCTATAATTAAGCGTCTACTTCCTTATTTCTCTTATTTTTCATCTGAGCTTGTTTTATTTCTTGAATTCCACATATGAGTGAAATCATATGATATTTGTCTTTCTCTGACTTATTTCACTTAGCATAATACTCCCTAGCTCCATCCACATCGGTGCAAATGGAAAGATTTCATTCTTAAAAAATAGGTATTGAATAAATGATGAATGAGTAAATAAATGATTTTTTGGTCCATGTCACATGATCTAGTAATCTTCTTAGCCAACAATTAAAACAGAGCTGACATCGTATTGAAACGGTATTGGGGAAAATATCAGTTGTCTATCAGTTATCATGGTGAATGAATGAGTGTGTGTGTGTGTGTGTGTGTGTGTGTACATGCGTGGTGTAGAGACAGAGAGGAAGAGGTGGGGCGTAAATAGAAAGATCCAGATATCTCAAGGAGTTTTACTTTTTCCTAAAAGAGTCACCCTCCCTCTAGTATATTTGGGGAAAAAATGAAAGCCGTTTCACATCTGTTTCTGAGTTGTCCACCCGGCTGCTGTGCCCAGCTTCATGTGCCAGTGGCCACAGTCCCCTCCATAAGATGCTTTACCCTTCCTCGTCATAGCACCAGCTAAGGCGTGAATGAGGCCAGGCCCTCTTTCTGCAGGGTCATCACACAGAGTGAACGAGTGTACCGGATTTGACAAAAGGGTTGAGGTGACTACGTTCATTCAACTACTTCTTGTTGAGCACCTACTATGTGCCGGGTATTACAGTAGGTGTTGGGTACAAGAGTAAAGAAACAGACATGCCCCTTGTAAGTCTTAGGATATGGGAGGGAAAGGATCATTAGAAAAATTAATACCCAAATCCATAATTTTACTTGAGATAATGCACTATGAAGGAAAAGGAGAGGGTATATTGAAAGAGATAACGAAGGAGACCATTTGGGTGGGGATGAAAGGAGGTGTCACGAAAGGCCCCCTAAGGTAGGATATTTAAGGAGAATATCTCTACCTTATATTCAGACCTAGGGGAATTAATACCATTCAAGAAAACCATTCCAGAAAAAAAGAGGGAGGGCGCCTGGGTGGCTCAGATGGTTAAGTGTCTGCCTTCGGCTCAGGTCATGATCCCAGGGTCCTGGGATCGAGTCCCGCATCGGGCTCCCTACTCCTTGGGAGCCTGCTTCTCCCTCTGCCTCTCTCTCTCTGTCTCTGTCTCTCATGAATAAATAAATAAAATCTTAAAAAAAAAAAAAAAGAAAAAAGAGGGAGAAAGAAAAAAAAAAGAGAGCAGGTCGGGGGAAAGGCATTCCTTACAAGGGGAGCAATTTATGCAAAGTCCCTGATGTGGAAAATAATCTGGGACACAAGAAGAAGTTTCAGTGGTTTGAGGAATGAGAGGTGAAAAACTAAAGATTAAAAGTGTTTAAAAAGAGGGACGCCTGGGTGGCTCAGTCGGTTAAGTGTCTGCCTTCAGCTCAGGTCATGATCCCAGAGTCCTGGGATCGAGTCCCACATTGGGCTCCTTGCTCAGCCGGGAGCCTGCTTCTCCCTCTCCCACACCCACTCCCCCTGCTTGTGGTTGCTTTCTGTCAAATAAATAAATCTTTTATTAAAAAGTGTATAAAAGATTAAAACTCTTTTTATGACATTTGGCTCTGAAGCAAGAGCTTCCAGAACGTAAACTGCACTCAGAAGCCAGGGCCTGCTCAGTGTCCAAGCCCACACCTGTGGCAGTCTGCAGCGGCCCCCCCCAACCCCCTTAGACACTTCTCTGGGCCAAGAAACCACCAGGGTTATCTCGGTGTGGCTCCAATCTGTCCAACAACAGGTGTGTTGTTTCTAGTCCAGAAACCAGTACTGTGCTTACCTTCTAGAGCAGTGGTTTTCAAATATTAGCTGGAGGTGGTATTAAAACCTTAAATTAAATTTAAAATTAAATTAAAATTAAAATTATTACTAGGGGCGCCTAGGTGGCTCAGTCAGTTAAGCATCTACCTTCAGCTCAGATCATGATCCCAGAGTCCTGGGATCCAGTTGGGTTTGGGCTCCTTGCTCAGCGGAGCGTCTGTTTTTCTCTCTGCCCCTCATCCTGCTCCTGCTCCTGCTCTCTCAAATATATAAATTAAATCTTGAAAAATTTTTTTTTAAAAACCCCAAAACAGGGGCACCTGGGTGGCTCAGTCGTTGAGCGTCTGCCTTCGGCTCAGGTCATGATCCCAGGGTCCAGGGATCAAGCCCCACATCGGGCTCCCTGCTCAGCGGGAAGTCTGCTTCTCCCTCTCCCACTGCCCCTGCTTATGTTCCCTCTCTCGCTGTGTCTCTCTGTCAAATAAATAAAATCTTAAAAAAAAAAACCCAAAACCAATTACTAGACCCCATCTTCAGAGACTGTGATTCAGTAGGTTTAAGGCGGGCCCTGCTAATTTGGCTTTGCAATGTGTTCCCATCTGTTGCTGCCCCCCCCAGTCCACATCTTGAGAACCGTTGTCCTAGAGAAACCGGAATATCCAAGAAAAGTTCTGGGAGAGTAGTTAATGGGCTTTTGTATTTTGCACTGGCAACTAGTCAGACACTCATCCTTATACAGCAAAGGGCAGCACCGCAGTAGGTGAGTGCTCCGCGGGGGTCGGTCCAAGATGACAGGCTCTCTAAGCCCAGCCTAACAGAAGGATAAGACAGATCCACCTCAGCCCCATGGTAGAAGGGCAGACATCTTGCTGGAAAAGGCCAGAACTCTTCCAAGGGGATGCTCCAGGGAGTCTTTTGAGGCAGCCATTGGGCTGGGCCCGGAGGGTGAGTAGGATCCTCCGAGCGGCCCTGCGGCAGCTTTAGGACCGAAAAACAGCATTCCACCTGCAGGCCTCCGGCCCTCACGGCACCCATCAAGAAGGAAAGGTGACGCCCGGCTCCGCTTGCGTGCCGAGTGCCGCGTGCCTTACCGAGGACGCCTGCGCAAGTGTCTCCGGGGCATCTCCCCGCCCTGGCGCAGGCTTACTGTGTAGGTGGGCGAAGGTGGTCGGCAGCCGCGGGCCAGCTCCTCCGGCTCCTCCGTAGCCGCGCCGCTCGCGGCCGGCAGGGTTCGCTCTCCGCGGAACCTGTCCTGTTCCCGGCCGGCCAGCGCCTGCGCCTGCGCGGGGCTTCCGCCGCTCGGAAAAGGGAGAGAGCTGTCCCACTGCTGCGCGCGGGGACTAAGATGGCAGCGGCGGCCCGGCTGGGCTGGGGAGCTGCGGCTGCTGCTGCGGGGCTGCGTAGGCGGTAGGTGACGAGCCAGGAGCTCCGCACGGGGGTGCCGCTGGGCCTAGCAGAGCGGTTGCCACCCCCGCCCCGTTGGGGCGGGAAGAAGTACCCCTGACCAAGCCTTTGGGTCCCCCCTCCCCCGGTCCCCGCCGTTGGGGATTTCGCCTTGCGGTGGGCGGCTATCCATGAGGCGGCTCTGCGCCCCGAGTCCGGGCGGGATCTGCAGCGCCCCGTGCCAGGCTCTGAAACCCGGCGCCTGAGTGCCTACGGTGGGGAGGCCCGCAAAGACGGGCTGCAGAAGCCCCACGGAGGAGCTGTTTTTTAAAATCGTGTGGTCCTTCCAGTCCTTCCATCACGTGCATTCCCTCCCTCTGCTTTTTAAACACAAATCGGAATGTCTACAGAATGGGAGTGGGTACCTCATCTCATTTCCTCATTTTCCCGGTAGGCCCAGAAAGGGGACGTGACCTGTATGAGGTCACACAGCTTCTAAGCGGTGGAACTCTGATGAGAATCCAGATCCCTAGATTTCCTACCCGTCACCTAAACCCACTCTGTTCTCTTGTTTTTTTCCCCTTCTGTGCAACCTGCCTTTGAAGTTTTTTTTTGTTTTGTTTTTGTTTTAAAGATTTTTATTTATTTATTTGACAGAGAGACAGCGAGAGAGTGAACACAAGCAGGGGGAGTGGGAGAGGGAGAAGCAGGCTTCCCGCGGAGCAGGGAGCCCGATGTGGGACTCGATCCCAGGACCCTGGGACCATGACCCGAGCTGAAGGCAGACGCTTAACGACTGAGCCACCCAGGCGCCCCAACCTGCCTTTGAGTTTGACCTCCCAGTGACATCTGTCAACAACGTCGGTTAGGTGAAAAGGAATGATGACTTAAGTAGGTGTTGTACCTTGATTTTGCTTCTGGAACAAAAGGACAAAAGGGCCTACCAAGGTTTCACCTAGTGAATATTAAGGAGTTTTAATGCTAATGATGCCCTTGAAGTGTTAAGTGCATTAAGTTTGCTGGAAGATTCTTTGTTAGTCACCTCCCGGCCCCGTCTGTTATGTTTGGATAGATGTCTTCCTGGAATAATTTTACTATTAACCTTTACTGTTTTGTCGCTTTAAATCCATCTCTCACTGTATTCATCCATTCTGTTGCTTTTTCCCTGGGCTGAAGGGACAAGAATACTGGTCTTCAGTGTATTTCCATATTCCAGTGTAGTCAAGATTTAGGCAGCTCGCCATAGATAAAAATGTTTTCACCCCAAACCTTAAACTTCATTCAATAATTCATTTTTGGGCACCTATCACATCATAATAATGGTAGCTAACATTTATTGAACTCTTGCTACAAGTGCTTGGCACTGATTTAAGCACTTTACATGGAGTATCTGGGTCCCTCTTTGGCCCAATCTTTGAGGTAGCTGTGAATATTCTTTTAGAGATGAGGAACTGAGGCCATCCTAGTTGCTGAGGGTCACAGAAATGAAGATGCTCCTTTTCTTTAGTGAGTTTGCAGATAAAAGTAATCAGAGAAAGTTTTTTTAAGTGATCATACATATATTTAAAATTCTTCAGCAAATTATGCAAAATGAAAATTGTAATGGTAGCAATATATATATATATATTTTAAAGATTTTATTTATTTATTTGACAGAGAGACAGTGAGAGAGGAAACACAAGCAGGGGGAGTGGGAGAGGGACAATCAGGCTTCCCGCGGAGCAGGGAGCCCGATGCAGGGCTTGCTCCCAGGACCCTGGGATCATGACCTGAGGCGAAGGCAGACACTTAACTAGTGAGCCACCCAGGCACCCCCGTAGCAATATATTTTAAAGTAAACTGGATTTTGGGGTGCCTGGGTGGTTCAGTTGGTTAAGCATCTGGTTCTTGATCTCAGCTCAGGTCTTGATCTCAGGGTTCTGAGTTCAAGCCCCGCATTGGGCTCCATGCTGGGTGTGGAGCCTACTTAAAAAACAAACAAACAAAAAGTAACCTGGATTTTAAAGTAACTTGCAACTGATTTCTAAAATTTTTCATTACTGAGGTTTTTTTTTTTCCTTTTCCAATATTTGTTTTTCCCTTCTCTCTTCATTTTTAATTTGTCAAAGCCCATGAAAAAATAGCCAATCAATACTTCTCTATTACAGTGAAATAACCAAAGTTACAAACACTGGCTTAAGGGGTTTCCAATCAAAAAGCATATATAAATTGTTGGCTTCTTTAGCAGTTTGGAGGGGAATAGTACACTTTCTATTAGACTTTCTGAAGTATTGAAATACCTTTCAAAACAGGTAGTATTGGGGCGCCTGGGTGGCTCAGTCGTTAAGCGTCTGCCTTCAGCTCAGGTCATGATCCCAGGGTGCTGGGATCGAGCCCTGCATTGGGCTCTCTGCTCAGCAAGAAGCCTGCTTGTCCCTCTCCCACTCCCCCTGCTTGTGTTCCTTCTCTCGCTGTCTCTCTCTCTCTCTCTGTCAAATAAATAAATAAATAATCTTAAAAAAAAAACCACAACAGTATTGATTCTCTTTCCAGGGAAACATGGTAGTAGAGACAGAAAAGGGAGGGACTTCACAGTACTTAATTTTATTCCCTTCGAGTTTTGAACTGTGTGATTCTATTACCTAGTTTTTTTAAAATTTAAAAAGAAGAAAAGAAACAGTTGGTAGTTTTTTGCATCCTTCATGCATAGCTAAGAGTCTGGGAATCCAGGTTGTAAATCACAAATTTAGTTGCATTTCTTTTTCTTACACTGGTATTGCACTATCCTGTGTACACTTGGTTATCAAGGCTATAAATTTCCACTTGAGCTCTTGGTTTTTGTTTTTTAAGATTTTATTTATTTATTTGACAGAGAGCGACACAGTGAGAAAGGGAACACAAGCAGGGGGGAGTGGGAGAGGGAGAAGCAGGCTCCCCGCCCAGCAGGGAGCCCGATGTGGGGCTTGATCCCAGGACCCTGGGACCATGACCTGAGCCGAAGGCAGTCGCTTAACAACTGAGCCACCCAGGCGCCCATTGAGCTCTTGTTTTTAAATTGTTTGCAGATATCGCTTGCCTAAGGAAATGGAAATAATGTGGATGGAGAATGAAATTAAGCTTTGTTGTTTTCATTATTATATGTATACACACACACATATATATGCATATATATATATGAAGTAGAAACTGAGCTTAAAAGATTATCTCTTGAAATGTCATTTTAATTTGCTTTTAAACGTAGATTCTGTCCTATGATGAATCCATACACCGTTAAGAAACAGCTTCTGCATCATTTTGTACAAAGACCACTTTTCCAACTGCCTGCAACCTTATGTAACACAGGTAAAATTTCACCTTTTATTTTTTTTAATTTTTTAAAAAAGATTTTATTTATTTATTTGAGAGAGAGACATCACATGAGGGGGGGAGGGTCAGAGGGAGAAGCAGACTCCCCGCTGAGCAGGAACCCCCACCCCCCATGCGGGACTCAATCCCAGGACTCCAGGATCATGACCTGAGCCAAAGGCAGTCGCTTAAACCAACTGAGCCACCCAGGCACCCCAAAATTTCACCTTTTAGAACTGTCTCAGAATTATGTCTCAGAAGCTAATGAAACTGCTTAAATACAGTTTGGTGGATCATAAAAGGTAAGAATTTGTATATTTTCTTTTTTTTTTTTAAAGATTATTTATTTATTTGACACAGAGAGAGAGAGAGCACAAGTAGGCAGAGTGGCAGGCAGAGGGAGAAGCAGGCTTCCCGCGGAGCAGGGAGCCCAATGCAGGACTCGATCCCAGGACCCCAGGATCATGACCTGAGCCAAAGGCAGACACTTAACCAATCGAGCCACCCAGGTGCCCCAAGAATTTGTATATTTTCTATTCAGGTACATAAAAAGAACATAGCGTTTTTTTGTGTCATAACGTAACATTTACTATAATTATTTGCTTATACATATTGGCATCAGATTTCAAGAATCTGGAGCACAGGGGTACCTGGGTGGCTCAGTTGTTTGAACATCTGACTCTTGGTTTCAGCTCAGGTCGTGATCTCCAGGGTCCTGGGATCAAGCTCCATGAGCCCCACGTCACTGGGCACCTTACTCAGTGGGGAGTCTGCCCCTCCCCCACTTGCATGTGCTCGCTCGTGTGTGCTCTCTCTCTTTCTCCTGAGTATAGCGTCCAATAGACCTATGAAATCTCAGTATTTTGAATAACACATCTTCTGGAACATTGCTCAAGAATGATTTCTCAAATGAAAATATTATAAAAAGAAGTTACAAATAGGTTTGTTTCAAAAAATCATATGTATTTTAAGCTGCTGCCCTCCTTATTTTATTAAGAATACACCTAAAAAGGGCACCTGGGTGGCTCAGTTGGTTAAGTGTCTGCCTTCAGCTCAGGTCATGATCCCGGGGTCCTGGGATCGAGCCCCCCATTGGGCTCTCTACTCAGCAGGGAGTCTGCTTCTCCCTCTTCCTCTGCCCCTCCCCTGCTCGTGCTCACTCTCTCTCTCTCTCTCTGGAATAAATAAGTAAAATCTTAAAAAAAAAAAGAATATACCTAAAATCAGTAAATTTCTAGCTTTTGTCCATGCGTTAGAAAATAGTACTTTCAATGTAGTTTTTCTTTTTGGGGGGTCCAAATTAATTAGTTATGGGCTTTGTTGATGATTTTGTTGATGTTACATGCTTTTATTTTCATTAATGTTGGAAGTAGGTATGAAGATAGGATTTGAAAATTATTGAAATGTGACCAGTGTCCTGTGGTTAGGGAACCTTGAGAGTTGTCTCTGTGTGTCTGTGTGTAAATGTCTGCCTATGTGTGCTTATGGATCTATATATAAGAGTTTGGATTCAGCTCTTGGGCCCGCTCCCATTTCCATCACTACCTGGAACACTTTGTGGCCATATTCTGGCAGGTGGCTGACTCTGGCTAACCACATGAGTTGGATCAGGGTAAAGACCTTACCTCTTCTGTATACTGGGGCAAAAAGAGGAAAACCTTGCCTGGCTCCTTGAATCACAGAATAAAAATTTAGGCATAAATATTGAGTTAGCATGTTAAGCTACTTTTTTTTTTTTTTTTAAAGATTTATTTGTTTATTTGAGAGAGCGAGAATGAGAGAGAGAGAGAGAGAGAGTATATGAGACGGGGGAGGGCCAGAGGGAGAAGCAGGCTCCTCGCTGAGCAGGGAGCCCGATGCGGGACTCGATCCTGGGACTCCAGGATCATGACCCGAGCCGAAGGCAGTCGCCCAACCAACTGAGCCACCCAGGCGCCCCAGCATGTCAAGCTACTTTAATTGGACTTTTAAATATTGTGGTATGGAATCATGTGGTCATCAGGTTTTTCAAATTGGAAACCCACTGATCTTAGTCTTTGATACTGACTTTAAGGACCATTAATGTATATTTTGGGGGAAGCTTCTGCCTCCCTATTAATCTATTACTTATTAATACCAAGCATAATGGGAAAAATTATTTTAGATCATTCTATTTTGTTATGACCCTTATGACACTCTCAGGGGCATCTTTCTGGATGATGGACCTGGAAGTCATTTCTGAAATACCTAATTAAGCCCAGCTTAGACTATAATTGAAATGATTTTGTTAATACCTAGTCAAATTACTATTTTGAAATAGCTTTGTTCATTGTCAGAAGAGAAAGTTTATGTCGTGATATCATATATTTTCTGCTTCAGACAATATACAGAGATTATGCTTTCAAATTTTTTTATATTTGTAGTTTTTTTTAAGTTTTTATTTATTTATTTTTTTATTAATCTCTACCAACGTGGGGCTCGAACTCACAACCCTGAGATCAAAAGTTGCATGCTCTTCCCACTGAGCCAGCCAGACACCCCACATTTACAGTTTTTACCTTCAAGTATTTCTGAAACCTTTTCTTTCTGCATATATAGTTTTACAGAAATGGACTGAGTAGAAAAATGCCAGATTTAATTCTTCAAATACTGTGGTAGAGTGCTTAATGTGTGTGGAGATTTTGATTACCAATAAATTATTAAGAAAGGCTTCTAGAAATGATTGGTCATATCTAAGGTTAAAAGAACCTTGTTGTCTTTATATTTACAGAAATTGGTGGCAGGTCTTTCTTTAATGTTCCATCTGAAAACTTGTTCCCATGTAACATAGATTTTTCAGAGGAATTTTTTCGTTGGACGTATAACTATTTTATTTTTTTAAGATTTTATTTATTTGAGAGAGAGAGAGCATGAGAGAGCACGAGCAGGGTGGGAGGGGCAGAGGGAGAGAAAGAAGCAGGCTCCCTGCTGAGCAGGGAGCCCGATGCAGGACTTGATCCCAGGACCCTGGGATCATGACCTGAGCTGAAGGCAGATGCTTAACCAACTGAACCACCCAGGCACCCTGGAGGTATAAATATTTTAAATCAAGTATTTGGATTTTGACGTTATCGTTTTAAATTTTTCTCTTTTTTAGGATTTGCCTGTTCACCAAGTGAGCAGTTGATAAGTTTATAGGACAGTGACTTAAAATGTATGGCAGTTTAGTTTCAGTTTCTCCTTCACCAAGGAAATGACTCAACGTCAGTTAGGTGGCTGCTTGGCAAGGTGTAAAAACCACCCTCAGCTGTGAAATTAGAATCCCTTATAATGGGTAAAAAGAAATCACTTCCATACAAATCCTATACTTTGCCAAATTTAATCTGTTTCTAATTAAAAAAAACTGTTGCTTGTTGGTATTTTACTATTTTTCCTCAGCATATGATATGAGGATTATGACAGGATAGGAAGACTGATTTTATTTTTTTTTTAAGATTTTATTTATTTATTTCACAGAGAGAGACAGCGAGAGAGGGAACACAAGTAGGGGGAGTGGGAGAGGGAGAAGCAGGCTTCCGGCAGAGCAGGAAGCCTGATGCGGGGCTCGATCCCAGGACCCTGAGATCATGACCTGAGCTGAAGGTAGACGCTTAACGACTGAGCCACCCAGGCACCCCTTTTTTGTTGTCTTTAAAAATTATTTCATCAGCTTGATCAACAAAGCCTTATTTTCTTTTTTCTTATGTCTTATTTCTTTGAAAATGAGCACTTCATAGTCTATAAGCTTAACTACTGTTTTTTTCTGGAATAACATTCTTTCTTCTTTTTTCTCTTTCAGTGAGACACATGTTTATTCAAACACAAGATACCCCCAATCCCAACAGTTTAAAGTTTATTCCAGGAAAACCAGTTCTTGAGACAAGGACCATGGATTTTCCCACACCAGCTGCAGCATTTCGCTCCCCTCTGGCTAGGTATATTACTATTTCTCATTTGCTTTTACCAAGAAACATAAATAACTGACTTTGGGAGTAAGGCAGCCTCGTTTAATGATTGCATTTTTATGTGCACTGCACTGTTTTCAACGTGAAGAATGCTTTCTTTTCAGGTAAGAGATAAAAGAAAAATAACAGTTGATATTAGGAAACCCTTCTCCTGAAAAGTAAAGTATTTGAGAGATCTATGGCAGGAATAAATAAGACTTTATATTTTTACTTTAAAAATAAATCATCAAAATGAAAATAGGATAAATTTCCATTATAAATCTTTAAAACTATTTATTAAAAAAAGTGAAAACTTGTTCATTTTTTTCTTAAGGATAGTTGAATTTTTTTCGATGTGTCAAAATGGAGCAGTTTCTAAAATATTCCACTCAGAACCGTAAATAATAATTGTTACTAGATTTGGCATGATTTTATAAAAATAAGTCAGAGACAATTTTTAAATTCATTAAAGACCTGTTAGATATATGTCAGATGATATAGGACAAACAAAGTGATTGGAATGAATTTCTTTCTTTTTTTATAAAAGA